AATGCATACTAAAACTTGCGGAACACTAAATTCTGTTGCTTTATTTATTTGGTTATTTCATAAGTAACATTTAAACGGATTTAAAGTTTTACGTGCGTATACGTACGTATGAAAAACGCAACAGTGGAAATCAGCCTTTAGAAGTTTAAGACATGGGTTTTATGGTTGGGAAGATTTCTGCTAAACCCAGTTTGAAGTTGCACTTGTTGTGGCTTGGAATGCAGCCGTTGTATCAAGACGTGAAAATCTGTGATGTAGCGTTGTAAACAGAGCGAGGAGAATGTCTAAATTATTCATATATTGTAATTACACAATTCCTTTCAATGATCTATTGTATTGGTAGCCGTTGCCGTCGCGTTGCCGTTCCTGGCTACGCAGCCAGCCCGACGATTTAGTCCCGCTATGCAAATATTTTCGTGTTCATTGACTGTGAAAACAATCAATTTGTAAAGAAATGAATAGTGATAATAATTTTGAATTTGCATAGCGAGACTAAAATTGTCGGGCTGGCTACGCCACTGGTAGACCAGATACCTGTATTTCACAATACCGCAAAAACAGACAGTTTTGCGGTTATACAGTAATAAAAGTTCCAGTACTATCCGGTAAATATCACATACCGGATAGTGCTGGATGTCTATAATTATGCCGGATATCGGCTCCCGGTGTCCGGATCCAACATATCCCTATCATGTGCAAAGGCATGAAAAAGGACATTTTATTCTTTAGCATTTTGAAAACATTTTTGGGCGCCACATTTCTGGCTCTTCATGTAACAAAACTCTTACTTCTCTCTTTTTCGTCCTCGGACGCATCTTCATCACTTTCTCCTAACACCCAGGTCCATGGATTACCGTCTGCACCCATCAAATAATTCACGTTTGTTCCTTTCTCTTGAAAAAATATTATTAATTTGCGTTAAGCTTTGTTGAACATGCAACCCTATATAGGACAATTACTGTGTCTCAAGTCATTGAGCACCAGCACTCTGGACGAGTAAAATAATAAAGTAGGGCGCATTAGGACACGATGCAAATTAATGGGTCAACTAGACACATTGGCAGATAGTCTGAATAATCTACTGAGCGCCAACTCCTTCCCCTTGACGAGTAAAATCGTCTGGCGTTAGACAGAGCACAATATTCTGGCGTTAGACAGAGTAAAATAATAAAGTACGTACAGTATGGCACATTGGTGACCAATGCAACTTAATGGGTTAAATAGCAAGAGACTACCAGCGATTGCCGATGTCTCAGTTCGGGCAGCTGAAGTACCCTGAACGGCGAAACATTGAATTTACTTTGAAAAAATACTTTCTTGATATTAGAAACTAGAGGTGTGCGTCGGATGGGATTGACCCACTAAGCTATACTTATATATCTGGAGATCGTGCTCTCGACGAAAGTGTGTGGCCAAAAACATGGCGGATTTGACGTCACAATCGACCTATTTTCATGGCAGTTTCCACTGACCCATGGCTCGAATGTCCGTGGGCGACAAAATTCAACCCCCCCTGATTTTACAGTGATTTATGTACTGACTGTTGTTTGTATTAGTTGATCGACGATGGAGAGTATTTTGATTTTCGTCCTTTTGAAAATACAGTATTATTCTAACTGCGCGTATAAATCAATAAAGACCGAAAGCCATTAATAAAAAAAGACATGAATGGAGCTTGACGGCCACAAGAACAAAGCATGTAAGTCATTGAAATGATTTATCAATTCTTGCTGTATTGTGAATTTGTGTTGCAACTGACTATCAAGATTATTCTTTAAAACACGAGTATTATAACAATCCCAGCAAGTAAAATGAAGCAAATATAGCTTGTTGAAAACCGTACTGCTATAAATTTCCCTGAGTGACAAAGGTTTTTTTAGAGATTTTAATACCAGTTTATTCTATTAGTAAATTGTGGGGAAAAGCAACTCTTTGGAATATAAAGCACTTATATCACCATTAAAGTTTTTTACACCTGTATGTATTCCGCTTTCAGGTATGAATTTATCAAGAAAATATGGGATATCTGTACTAAGTACCAGGTGGCAATGAAGAAAGTCAAGTGTATTTCTTTATAATGGTCTTCCTTGTAAAAGGCAATGGCACTATTTCATTGAACATTCAAGGAACAATCGCCTTTTAAAACAAATATGCACATTTTTATGCTCGAGTTACAATGTTTGATTTTGATATCTGCATTTTATGCGATTCATACCTTATTTTTAAGTGTTCCTCAAATATTGATTCAATACATTACCTCGGGCTGACCAATTCATTCCATCAAGATATTTGCTGTGTTGGTGTAATACATGTACTCAGGTGAATAAGATGCTTGTGTGATGTTACGTACTCTGAGTGGATATCCACACTGGGCAGGCTTGAAAAATATGCCTGGCCACAGTGGGATTTGAACCTACAACCTTTGGAATACTGGCCCAATGCTCTGCCAACTGAGCTATACAGTCGGGGCAGTTCGAGTATGCGATATTTCGGAACTGAGTCTAGTTCCTTCGATATCAGTGTAATCTAATAACCATGATATTTGTGAATATGATGCTTGTGATATGTTACTCCGAGTGCATATCCACACCGGGCAAGCTTAAAAATATGCCAAGCCACATTGGGATTCAAACCGACCTGACCGCGTAGCTCAGTTGACAGAGCATTGGCATTTGGGCTAGTATTCCAAAGGTTGTAGGTTCAAATCCCACTGTGGCCAGGCATATTTTTCAAGCCTGCCCGGTGTGGATATACACTCAGAGTAACATCACACAAGCATCTCATTTCATCAAGTTCCTCCAGATATTCATACACTTCCTGTGAAAGAGCCAATTCCAAGTATTTAATCATTTCTGGTCACTTCCTTTCTATTTATGATTGGTTAGTTGCACAAACAACAAAGGTGATTGGTGCATTCAAACCATTTAACAGGAAGTTTACAATTATACTAGGAAGTGTATGAATATCTTGAGGAACTTAATGAAATGAATTGGTTAGCCCGAGGTAATGTATTGAATCAATATTTGAGGAACACTTCAATTGGAACGACAGTGAAGAATTATTAAAAAAAAATTTTATTCAAAAAAAGATTTTCCAAAATAATTATATAATTACATTTAGTAATAAGAATAAATAATATATTCAATTTCAAATCACAACAAAATTTATTCTTTATTTTTAAACACATACAACACCAATTTAAATAAACTGCTCAACCAATTCTATGCATGTCAATCCCTACTTGATGGTCAGCACCTACAGCACCTAGGGCAAAGCACCCTATTTTAGTATTTTACTCTGTCTAACGCCAGACAGTTTTACTCATCAAGGGGAGAGTGCTGGCGCTTAATGGGTTAATTACCCCTCATGTACAGTATGACCATTAATTGTACTGATAATAAACTGTAAAGATCACAACCAAGCTGACCAAAGCAATCATTAAAGATTGTTGGTACAGCATATGGCTTTAACACTGGTCTCTGGCTGTAATCCTCCTCAAAGATATCAGCACTAAAATGCTTTGAACACAATCGACTATTTTTCATACAAACAAACTTCACTGGCATAGGTTTGCTTATATTCTTCACCCATATGCTGTGCAATTCAGGGAATCTCTTCTCATCTGGAAAGCTTTGAAGTAAATGAACAATTGTTTTTAGTGTCTAGTTTTAAATAATACACTGTTCAATACTATACCTATAACTTACAATATAAACAATGCCACACTATACAACACATGGTTTAGTCCACAATAAAGACAATACAATGAGTGAAAGGCTTTGTACATTTAAAGCTAGTCGTATCTTTATCACATTGTTAAAATTCTCATTTGAAATTTTTTAACATAGCATTATCTGTTAGGATATCGATAGGATTTCATCACTGCATCACATCCATCAACTTGCATGAAAATAAATACTTGCTCGACAACAGCTCCACAAGCTTGTCAACATTTTAAAATTTTGTTCTGCTTTTGCACTGTAGTACACTAACATAAATTGTATTGTATGTTGCTTGCCAATAAATTTCATGAATTCACAAATTTACGCTTTCAATACAGCAATACAGCATGCGTTAAATTATTAAAAAAAAGAGATTATACGAGCCTTACGCATGTGAGGACAGGTCCTTTCTTTGAGTAGATTTTTGGCAACCAGGAATTGAACAAAAAGTTGGCATGGTTGCAAATGTCTCGTTTCAATATAGAAATTTCCGACCGAAATTTTGAATTTACTTCCTTCTGTTTTAAGCAAATTGAAAGGGGGGTGTGAATAACTTTTTTCTTCACGTTTGTATTTTAGGTCAGTGGTGTTCACCATAAATTTAGGTCGATTGTGACGTCAAAATGACGTAAATTTGGCCAAAATCCGCCATGTTTTTGGCCACACATTTTTGACTGACGAGGTATTGGAGCACGATCTCCAGATATATTAAGTATAGCTCAGTGATGGGGATACACAAATCCCTAGTGATATTAGTAGGGGATACACAAAACACGGGGATACTCATATCACTGTGACACCGCCATTTTAAATGCTCATGTTGGCGCGTCGCGTGCGTAATAGGCCGTATTCTGTGGCACGAAAAGTCGCTTAGAAAACGAATTCCGTTGCCCGGGTTCGGGCACTACTTTGAAACAAGATAAATAATTAGGAAAAATTATACAAAGTCCAAATCCGCTTGTTTGCACTTCCCAAAACCTGCAGTTTTCGAGTATTTCTTCTTCGAAAATTGAAGAAATCGACATCTTTCGCAATCGATCGCCGCCATTTTTGTTCAGGATACTTGGTGTAATAAACACTCTAAATGCCGATTTTCGCGGGCTCATGCTCATTCTTACATGAAGTTTCCAGCTTAGCTTTTGTAAACATGGCGTCTTCTGATTCATGTTTAATTCATTTTGATGGGGAAAAAGGCCCACTTACAAGTTTTAGTGTGGTTTCGTATCAAAAATTTTTAGATTGTCGTAGAATTTGGCTAACGCTAGACGGGGAAGAACGCAATGTTGCTCAAAGAAGTTTGCAATTTGTTAGCGACAGCATGGAAGTAGCACGGTCGAAAATATCGATGCAAATTTCTCTTTATATCATTGAAGTTGTTACTCGGCATTCACAAATAGCAGTATGATCAACCGAGCTCAAGAGCGTTGTCAGAATATGGACAAAGAAGGTGTACCTTCATCCTCTGGTCTCCATATTATTGATGAAGAAACGGAATCAGATGAAACTGAGAAACTCCACCTGTAAAGAAAATGCTGAGATCTACACACGTAAAAATCTCACAACTTGTCAACAAGATGTGTTCGCAACAGACATGTAGCAAGCTTGTCAACAAGTTGTAAAAATTCTGTTACTTTATACAAGCTTGTCACTCACAACTTGTTGACAAATTGTTGAATTGCTGTTGGAACAACTTGTAACAAGTCTGTTGATTTTGACAACCTTGTAGCAAGTTGTCAACAAGCTGTTGACAACTTGTCAACAAGCTGGGAACAAGCAGTGCGAACACATTTTTATATGTATACCCTGAGTTCACCTACACATGTAAAAACGCACAGCTTATAACAAGTCTGCAAACAAGTTGTTACAAGTCTGTTCACAAGCTGTCAACAAGTTGTCTTCACACTGCTTGTTCCCAGTTTGTTGTAACAAGTTTGAAACAAGCTGTTAACAATTTGTAACAAGCTTGATGGCATTATCAGCCTTGTTACAAGACTGTGCTAACAAGTTTGTTACAACCATGATATAGCAAGGATGTTACAAGGTTGTCAACACAAGGTTATAACAATCTTGTTATATCAAGCATGTAACAGACTTGTCAGAACAACCTTGCAACAAGTCTGATAACTTCGACAAGGTTGTTACAAGTTGTTCCAAACCTGATAACAACTTGT